CCTGAGCAAGGGCCTGTACCCCACGAAGATGCCGGTCACCCAGCGCTAACGGCGGCCCCTGGCCTAAGCCCCTAGGCTGGCAGTCACGAGTCTCTACTACAACGATCTTAGACTTGCAGCTCAGGGAGTTCCACTTAGTCCTCATTCCACTTTGCAAGCGGCAACACTGACCTGAGCGCCCCCATCTCCTCGGGCCCTCTTCCACCTGGTGACTGCGGCCAGGGAGAAGGCAGCCGGGTTCCCGCAGGCCCTGGGCCACTCGGGCCATCCTGACTGCAGGGTCTCTCTGGGGCCCTGCCCCCCCGTGTTGTTCGCCCAGCACTGGCCGCGCCCAGGGTGCCGACTGTTTCGAGGCATGGCCCCTTCGCAGATGCTCTGAGCAGCCCCCTCGGTGGGAGGGCACGGGTCAGTCAGGGAACCTGGACGTCCCGGAACAGCTGCTCAGTCTTCGTCTACGGAAAAGGAATTTAGAACTGGCAGGTTTACCAAGGCACTGCAGACCACCTTCCAGCGGTTCTGGGGCTGCTGTTGGGGCCTCACTGCCGGCCTGGCCTGCCCTCTGTCCACACTCGCCATGACCACACCCCTCAACGCAGGTCTCTGCCAGCAGGCTGGCCCGTGAGGCCCCTGGGCGTGGTCTCCGCCTCCGGCTGGGAAGGCGCTCTCTTGAGACCCGGCATGGAGCCCTGCAGCCCGAGGGACCCCAAGCTATCTCCTCCTGTTTCCAGCCTGCCCTCCATGATGAGGGGCCTCTTCCCAGGGACCTGCCACCTGATGGCCAGGGCAGCAGTGTCCGTGCCCCCACCAGGGTCCTGGGCCCTGCCTTGGAGGCCAGCGGGCTGTCGGCCACCACAGGGACGGCCCCAGGCACGCAGGCCTGTCCCACGCGGCTGACTCCAGCCACCTGGCGGCAGAGGCACCTACCCCTCCACACTCCAAGTGCCCAGCGCAGCCGCTGCCCTCCCCTTCACTGGCCCCTCTGACAACGGCCCACACCTGCACTTGTACTTGCGCCCCAAGTTCCAGGCCAGCACCCAGCAGTGATCTGGGGGGCCCACCGTGCTCCCCAGTCAGGAGTGTCACCACTTCCCAGAGCTGGCAGGGACCCCCAAGAGGCTCTTACGGGCTCCCACCTGCGGGGGTCTGGGAGCCAGAGGGGATGAGAGCCCACCCTGGGGCCCTCACTCAGCACACCCCATTCCAGGCAGGGCAGGCACCTCCAGCGTGCAGGGCCCTAGTCCCGCACACCCTCCCAGAGCCCCTATACCAGCCGCTGGCAGAACCCAGCCCCAGAGGACTCCAGGACC